GATGGATAGATAGATAAATATATGGATGGATGGATGGATGGTTGGATGGAAGGAAGGAAGAAGGGATGAATGAATGAATGGATGGATGGATAAATATATAGATGGATGGATGAGTGGATGGAAGGAGGGATGGATGGATGAATGGGTGGATGGATGGATGGATGGATGGATGGATGGGTGGATAGAAGGAGGGATAGATGGATGGATGGGTGGATAGAAGGAGGGATAGATGATGGATAGATAGATAAATATGTGGATGGATGGATGGATGGATGGATGGATGGATGGATGGATGGATGGTTGGTTGGATGGAAGGAAGGAAGGAAGGAAGGAAGGAGGGATAAATGGATGGATAGATGGATAAATATATGGATGGATGGATGGATGGATGGATGGATGGATGGATGGATGGATGGATGGATGGATGGATGGATGGATGGATGGATGGGTGGATAGAAGGAGGTATAGATGGATGGATAGATAGATAAATATATGGATGGATGGATGGATGGATGGATGGTTGGATGGAAGGAAGGAAGAAGGGATGAATGAATGAATGGATGGATGGATAAATATATAGATGGATGGATGGTTGGATGGAAGGAAGGAAGGAAGGATAAATGGATGGATAGATGGATAAATATATGGATGGATGGATGGATGGATAGATGGAGGGATGGATGGATGGATGGATGGGTGGATAGAAGGAGGGATAGATGGATGGATAGATAGATAAATATATGGATGGATGGATGGATGGTTGGATGGAAGGAAGGAAGGAAGGAAGGAAGGAAGGAAGGAAGGAAGGAAGGAAGGAAGGAAGGAAGGAAGAAGGGATGAATGAATGAATGGATGGATGGATAAATATATAGATGGATGGATGAGTGGATGGAAGGAGGGATGGATGGATGAATGGGTGGATGGATGGATGGATGGATGGATGGATGGATGGGTGGATAGAAGGAGGAATAGATGGATGGATGGGTGGATAGAAGGAGGGATAGATGATGGATAGATAGATAAATATGTGGATGGATGGATGGATGGATGGATGGTTGGTTGGATGGATGGTTGGATGGAAGGAAGGAAGGAAGGAAGGAAGGAAGGAAGGAAGGAAGGAAGGAAGGAAGGAAGGAAGGAGGGATAAATGGATGGATAGATGGATAAATATATGGATGGATGGATGGATGGATGGATGGATAGATGGATGGAGGGATGGATGGATGGATGGGTGGATAGAAGGAGGGAAAGATGGATGGATAGATAGATACATATGTGGATGGATGGATGGATGGATGGATGGATGGATGGATGGATGGATGGATGGATGGATGGATGGATGGATGGATGGAAGGAAGGAAGGAAGGAAGGAAGGGGGATAAATGGATGGATAGATGGATAAATATATGGATGGATGGATGGATGGATGGATGGTTGGATGGATGGAAGGAAGGAAGGAAGGAAGGAAGGGGGAATAAATGGATGGATAGATGGATAAATATATGGAGGGATGGATGGATGGAAAAGAGATTGCTTAAGATCTTTGCTTGTTTGTTAGGAAAATAACTGATGAATCAGTTCAGGAATAAAAAAAAAACTCCCAGAAAGTAAAAACTGGACAATCATCTGCAGGTGATGAAGATTCTAGATGACACACGGTCTCAGATCTCTCATAACGTTCTCACTATCTGGGCTCAGAGCTCTTTCATAATTTAAGTTTTCATGAAAACCACGAAGTTCTGGTCTCCTATCTGCTGAAACAGCCACCAACAGCCAATCAGACTCAGCAAACACAGCAATGGCAGACACTCATCAGTTCTACTGATGTTTAGCTAGTTTCATGCAGATGCAGCTGAGAGTCACTGATGTAATGGCATGAAGGTTCTCTGATTTGTGCCAAAGGTCACATTTGCCCAGCTGGGTCAAGCTGGGTCAAACAGTACTTGGAATCCACAGATTAAACCCAAGGAGCCACGATGTCTGCTCAAGATCATAACATCACTATCTGCTGTTCCGTCCCAAGAAGGACACTTCAAGCCACGATGACAATAATTAAATAACAATTAATACATTCATTGATTTTATTACTGTTTAAATAATCATTACAACATAATCACTTGGTTCATTATAAAGGTATCTTAATTACATGAAATGGATTATTATGCTTTGGTTATAATAATAATTATTATTATAATGATTAAAGATGTGTTGAACAACATGGTCAAGTACACCTATTCAGCTAACACAGAGTTCAGATAAACAATAACTGCATCACATGTTTTTTGACGCATGAGCAAGCTTTCTTCCGGAGAGAGTGGGAGTGGTTCTGGAATTTTTTGGTAAAACTAGACATCACAGATTTCACGTGGAGTTCTGGAACCAACACCACGAGGAAAGGAGAACGGCCGTTTCCTAAGCCTCTGCCTGCTGTTCTGTCACGCCGACAAGAATGGCTAAAGAACAAACAAAACTAACAAACTAATGAAGACTCTCCCAGAGTCATTTGATTTCTGAAGTTAAGACGATAACGTGCATCTGCCAAACGCTTCGTACAGCCGTGTACCCGGCTACCACTCTGGACCAGAGCATCGGACACTCGCATCTTCTCTGCCAGCTCCGAGTGTAATCTTGGATGAACCCATCCTTCCGATCTCCGGATCCACAAGAGGGTCAGCTGTTTGGGTAAAGTAGAACACGACAGATGACGTTTGATGCTGTTTTCTCTCGAAATAACTCAGTTATCCGCAAAACCTCATTTTCACCCAGAACCTTTCATTCCCTCTGAAAGAAACCTTCTGAGAACTTCATTCACGCATCCAAAACTCATCATTCAACACAGATTTGCTTTCAAACAAGTTTAATATCAAAGCTGTTGAGAATTGTCATTAAAATTGCCATCCATGAATTGTCATTTTATGATTGTCGTTTCAAATCTTTCAGTTTAAAATTTTTAGTAATACATTTCTTCATTTTTAAACTTGCCTCATTATTGAAACGAAACACAGAAAAGGGTTGCATTTTCAGTTTATCGAATGAAAAGAATCTTACTGAATCTTCTGTTTAATAAATAAACTTTTGCTATTAATTTAAGTATCTTTAATTCATTTTCACCCCATTACACTGACAACACACATGCACAGGAAGTGCTAACAAGATTGCTCTGTTCTCGTATTTTTAGATTTGACTAAAACAACTAAAACTGCATCATGAGATGCTGCTCAGGCAGCAAAGATGTTAATGTATCCCTTTAAATGCCACATTTGTTTAGGATTATATTAAACTCCTAAAATAAACCAGTGTTAGGAGCTTCATGTGCTAGCTTCTGTCTCTCCTCCAGACAATTCTCTGCCTCTGATTGCATCCTGCTGAGAGTTTTCCTGTCATTTCATCCACACTAACAGTGTATACCAACTATGAAATGCAGAGGCCACATCCGGCATGAAGCTCTAACAAACCCCACTGCATCCATCCGCTCGGATCTGTCTGTCGGCCTCTGTTTTATCCGTCTGCCTATTTTTGTCCACTCATCCATTTGTTATTCCCACTGCTCGCCTCACTGTCTGTTAGTCTGTCTGGCTGTTGTCATCTGTCTGTGATGTGAGCACAGATTTGTTGTTATCATTGTTATTTGTGACACAAATAAGTGAATAAGTAGCTCTGCGCTGCAGGCAGAGCCCGGTAAGTGAGTTAGGCAGATGTGTACGGTCCTGAAGCTGACACTGCTGGATTAGTGAGCATCACCGACGGCTGGTGGCCTGTTTCTGATGTTTTCAGCCTGGACTTTACAGGGTTTACTAACGCTTGGTGTGGATCAACAATCATTTAATATCACAATAGAGAACAGGAGTGAAGTTATTATTTTAGTCTGAAAACGTTCTCTTATTTTCCAACAAGCAAGCAAGCCAAATAAAATGTAACAGTATTACTGGTATGTCAACATAAGACTGTGTAATGGTCAAAAGGTGTCAAATCAGTGTGGAAAGCTTGTTACTAAGGATTTAACAAAATTGTATTTGTTACTGTTCATTAAAACATAGTTTTTAATGTTTTTGCAAAAATTAATTAATTCATTTATTCATTCAAAATTTATTTGACAGGGACTTTGCTGTCCAGCATAGCACAGGATGTTGCTGATGCGACGCATTCGGAGATCATTGCTAACGCTAATTTACAACTCCTGTCCCCGGTTGGGTTTTCCTATATAATAATAAAACAAGATAAAAAACTGAAACAACAGAAAATGTCTTTCACAGTTCTAAAAACAATAGTAAGACAACATAAAAACAAAGGTTAAAGATTTCCTACATGAAACCAAAGCCATCAAATTAATGCCAAAAATGATCCTACACTGTGAAAGAAACACTAAATTGATCATGAGTCATCTCTAAAGGTCGTCCTGTGTGGCTGTGTGAGTCTGTTGCTTTAGTAGAGTTTAACTGTACTAATACCATGTAATAACAATCAGGATTGTGTAATGTAAGACACAACGCTGTTTCTTCTTGAATGGAAGCCATAATGAGACGTTTACCAAATAATGACCTCTGATTCCCTCTACAAAATTATTTTGAAACAAAAGACCTTTTATATCCGAAACTGAAATGACATTCAAGTAAGATATCGGGAGTCGTGGCACATCTGAAGTAAATGCACATTTATTTTTAAAAATTGGAGGTAAATGGAGACAGATAAACTTTTTTCTCAAAGGTAATTTTCAAGGCTCCAAAAAATAAAAGATCATGTCAATTCTTGTTTCAATGACTTATTTTGAGACTTCTGTGTTTCTAGACTTTGGACAGTAAAGTAATTTGCCTTTTGACATTGTTCTAGCAGCATGAGGGACTGGAGGTTCCTCCATCGCCTCTGAGCTGAGCACATCCAGAAATACGTCACCAACACTCAGCATCCAACAAAACACATTCAATGAATGTTTTCCCGCCTGACCTTCTGAATTCTGTTAATGGAAACCTAAATGTTTTAATTAAACTGGGATTGTCCTGCAGCGCCTGAAGGAGCTGAAACAGAGGGAGTTCTACAGAGCGTTGGCCTGCAGGAGGCAGAGGAGGCGCCGTGAGGAGAAAAGAGAGGAGAGAGCCCTGAGGAGAGCCCATCAGCATGATGAGAGGAGGACCAGAGAGTGGTGAGTAACTGTCCACACCTCTCTTACAGTGTCCCTGTATTGGTTTGAAATGTTTTCAAACAAATAGTTGATCTGTGTGGCATTTTCTGTCTGATCGTTGATTCAATCAGCTCAGCTCCATGTCAGCTGTTAAAAGAGACACTCTCGGTTTGCTGCTCAGCGGGAAACGTCAGACAGCAACAGTTGGAAGGATTCCAAGATCAGGAGGGAGAAGGACTGGGGATTGTTAGCATTATATGTGGACAGAACTCCAAATGATGCTGTTTTCTACATAATCTGTGATAAAACACAAGTTTGGAATCAGTTAAAGCTGCTGAAGATCCTGATCCACAGCAGAAGACTTGACCTGTAACAGCAGGAGGCAAACTGGTAGAAATAAAACCAGTCACCGTGATGGTTGTGTTCAGGGGTAAGCTGCCACCAGTCCAGCCTTAAAGGATGCCACCTTGTTCTCCTCATTCATGTTTAATGAATTAAACAGATGCTAGGCTGCAGTTCAAAACACTGTCTGTCCATGTCAGTGTTCACCTTCTTCCAGACGGATGAGCTAACGGCTAGTCTGAGCACACAAGCACCTTGTTGGAGTCCAGGGGTGGGGTTGAGCAGGAGTGTATTATTATGGTGCTGCAAGGGTTCATGCAATAACATCTGCATCAACTAATTCATCAGTCCTAAAGGTCAGAAACTGCGTTTCTCCAAACAGCGCTTGTTCAGGAAGCTACGTAGGAGAGTTATCATTTACACACGTACACATAATCAACAAACAGAATGAGGCAGAAAATCAGAAACGTCCTTTTTGTCTTTGTTTTCCATGATTTGACTCTGCAAATGTTACCTTTACAGTCCATGGTGTTCCAGTCTTGGTGAGCCATTCAAGGCTGACAACAGTAGATGTTTGTGTGAGAGGATGAGTGGGTGACTAATTCACTAGATCCAGGTAGATAACACCTTCAGAATGGTCCTTAACATGCACCGATGTGATGATAAGAGGCTCTGATTTACTCTCATTCACACACACAGACATTTACACACCCACACACTCCTAACTTCTCTGTAGTGAGATGATGGTTTAGAAACCAAAACAACAAAAGCTAGACTGGTGTGTTCGTGCTGCTCCTACAAACACGTTTACAAAAGTTGCCTCTAAATGTTTGCAGCTGTAAGCTCGATTCATAGAAAGAAACCCTGTTGTTCTCCTAAAAGACAAAACAAACATAAACCCGAGGGACTGATGGATCTCAAGGCTCAAAAGGAAGGAGCTTCTTCATCTGGAGCGCTCCAAGCTGATGAACGAGTTCCTCAGACTGTAAACACAGTGTGTGTGTATGAGCACAATCAGAACACGCCCTAGCCTCAAACATCCAGAGCCTCTCATTCCACGGTTTTCTACACTTAAAGGTTTTCTACACTTAAAGGTTTTCTACACTTAAAGGTTTTCTACACTTAAAGGTTTTCTACACTTAAAGGTGTTCTACACTAAAAAAAGAAAACTTCTGTCTGACATTTGAACAAATCTGAGGTCAGTGACTCCAGAATCAGTTAAACATCATAGTTTGTGTTTTTGTTTAATCACTTTTCCCTTTTTCTTGTTTAGATCAGAGATGCACCGCACAGAGGTGTATGTGCGTGTGTGTGTGTGTGTGTGTGTGTGTGTGTGTGTGTGTGTGTGTGTGTGTGCGTGTGTGTGTGCGTGCGTGGGTGTGTTTGTATGTGTGTGCATGTGCATGCATGTGTGTGAGTGTTTTTTTAGTGTGTGTGTGCATGCGTGCGTGGGTGTGTTTGTATGTGTGTGCGTGTGCATGCATGTGTGTGCGTGTTTTTTTAGTGTGTGTGTGTGCGTGCGTGCGTGCATAGGTGTCTCTGTGTGTGTGCGTGCATGCGTGCGTGCGTGGGTGTGTTTGTATGTGTGTGCGTGTGCGTGCATATGTGTGTGTGTTTTTTAGTGTGTGTGTGTGTGTGTGTGCTTGTGCGTGCATGTGTGTGGGCATATGTGTGGGTGTGTGCGCATGTGTGTGTGTTTTAGTGCGTGTGTGATTGTACGTGTGTGTGTCTGTGAGTGTGTGTGCTTGTGCGTGCATGTGTGTGTGTTGTTTTTAGTGTGTGTGTGCACGTGCCTGGCATGAATGTGTGTGTTTTTGTGCATGTGTTTGTGTGTGGGTGCCAGTGATTTTAGTGCGTGTATGTGTGCATGCGCATGCGCGTGTGTGCATGCATGCATGTGTGTTTTAGTGTGTGTGTGTGTGTGTTTTAGTGTGTGTGTGTGTGTGTGTGTGTGTGTGTGTGTGTGTGTGTTTTAGTGCATGTGTGTATGTGTGTGTGTGTGTGTGTTTTAGTGCATGTGTGTGTGTTTAGTGCATGTGTGTATGTGTGTGTGTTTTTTTAGTGCATGTGTGTGTGTGTGCATGTGTGTGTGTGTGTGGCCATGTGCAGAAGCATCCCTGTACAAGATGCTGAACCCTGAAAGTTGTCTGCTAGGTGCTGTAACAGCTTACTGGTTAACATAATAATGGATGACTAGACACTGATATTACTCCTCATCTGATCTAAAGTGGCTCTAAATCCATTGTTTCGTATTGTAAGGTGGTTTTCAGAGGCAATCCTGGGCCAAACCAGTGATTTTCTAATGTTTTTGTTTTAAAAAGTAAAATCCTCTGAAAACCAGCTGGGCTTATGTGCTGTCGCATCACATCAACCCCTAATTCTGAAAGAATGTGTAAAAATAATCTCCCGGACTCCGTTTAATAAACTCTCTATGTTCTAAAACATGTATGGTGTGACTGTCCTCAGAGTAATTACTCAAACTGACTGATTTGCTTCACAGAATAGTTGATGAGTAAAAATAAACTCAGATCCCTCACAGGCTGTTTGAAGATTTTGAGTGTTGTCACAGCAACTCATGAAAAGTATTGTGTTGTTCCTAACGAGGATATTCAGGACGCCTGAGAAGTGTTTCTGACCGCTGAACCCACTCACAGCACAAAGTCTCACCATCGGCTCTCTTTGCCGTTTTAGGATTAGTGACAGTTTTAGAACAAACGAGAAGAAGAGGAAGCCTGGAAATGTTCTCTTTTAGCTGCTTCTCAGCTCTCCTCACTTCCTCTTCAATGTGTTTTTCATCTCAACTCCTTATTGATTTCTTTTTCCTTCTCATTTATCTTAATTTCCTCTCATTTTACCACTTTTGCTGATCTCTTTAAACACAACTCTACTCTTTTCTTTCTTTGTCATCTCTATTTGACTTTCTCCTTCCTCTTTTTTCTTCTTAACCTTAACGACTCCTTCATTCACTCCTAATATTCCTTCTTTTGGACCATTTTCTTTCCTCTTCACTTAGAGTATTTTCATCATCTCCTCTCTTCTCCCCAGTGCTCCAGGTTCTGGTCCCATGTTCCGGTCCACCACCGTGGCAATAGACCCGGCGAATCAGAACAGTCCAGGCTTGGAGCGGAACTGGGCTGATTTCCAGTGTGGTGCCACACGGGGAACAAGTAAGAGCTCTTATCCACTCAAAGCGACTCGTGCAAGGCTGCTTAAATAGTTGGTTTTGGCGATGAGAATATCACTCTGGATGCTGAGGGATTAAAGAGAGTGTGGTCTGCAGCAGAAAAGCTGAATTAGCTAAGCTGGTAACATCTGAAGGACTCAGACACACAAAAGTAGCTACTGCTAAACAAGACGCAATGAACCAGGACACCAGGAATGCGACAGCTGAAACCATGTCTTGCTTACGTCAGTGTGTGGTGGGTCTTTACAGTACTGACTCCAACTGCAGTTCAGTCTTTGTGAATCTCACATTTGAATTGGATTGAGTTTTGTTTCCCAATACTCTCCAGGATTTAGTTATCCTATTGTTATGCACTTTTTTCTACACCATCTTGTTCTCCCTAGGGATGGGTACCTTTCACATTTGAATCATCGTGGTACCAATTCCCGGTACCTAGGAATCGTTACTGGTACTTAATGGTACACATTTTTGACACTTTGAGTGTTTAATAATTAATGAAATCTTTTCTAATTAAATACTATTTTTCTCAATATATAACTGTATTTGATAAATATCCCAATGAATAAAATACAACCGTTTGTATTTTATGATCATAGTGTTAAATCTTCTATATGAAAACTTTTGACCACAACTGTTTCTAAATGATACAAAAATTAAAACCCAGCTATATACTCCTAATCCTCTTCTATGCCCTCTGCAATAACTATGATGAGGAGACGATGTATTATAAATTACAAATTAAACTAAAACAAACTTCAAGACCATGCAATAGTTTGTATTTTAATATTGTGCCGTCGCTCTCAAAGTTTTTAAGTCATTAGCTCTCAAAGGTTTACGGTAAAACCCAGCGGAGTAAGAGTCAAACTAAGTTGGAGCAGTTTTTCTGATTCAGCATCGGTTTGGATCATTTGGACTCGTGCTCTGAATTCCACATTTTCAGTACAGCTGAAGTGAAAGAACCTTAAAGTCAAGCCACTCCCGGGGAACGAGATTCTCCTGAACACACGGAAGACTACGTTGACCAACTCGGGGGCCAAAAATCCTGTAGTCCCACAAGGCTTCACACAAGCGAGAACTCCTCCGGCTGTTTCAGCCCTTTGGTCACCCCTGGCGACGGAAAATGGTCTGTGAATCATTTAATCTGCCTGACTTTTCTGCTAAGCTGATTAGTGAATTCAGATTGTCCCATTTAATGGCGTTTTATTTAGATCCAAATTCACGTTAGCTCTCAAGATTTATCCTTCTTCATCTGCCACAATGAGCCCTTATTTGCTTACACACACACACACACACACACACACACACACACACACACACACACACACACACACACACACACACACACACACACACACGCACACACACACACACACACACCAAATCAACCACTCCCCATAAACTCACATGAAAATTCACTTGTTCCCCTTTAGAAATTATTCCCCATTCTACTACAACCTCGTGTGTCATCAAATTTCCACTTTTATTACAGATCGGTTATTTCATATCACTGCCATAAAGCTTTGGGGTTAACCATTTTCTTAATTCCATGCATGAAACTATAAGATAGATTTGATCCATTTGTCAAATGTATCAACTGATGTTTGTAATAAACTCACAAAACGTTAATAACGCCTGATCATTTCTAGCAATCTCGAGAATAGTTGGCACATTCTGGCAAGATTCGTCCTTTAGGTTAATTTGTGGTGTTAAATTTGAGACTGATTACATTGAACAAATCTGAATATCAATTCAAGTGTTCCAAGTTCACACTAACAAAGACTTGGTGGTGCCCTGAATAATTAATATAAGATTATAAAGGACTAAATAAGCTAAATCTACACCACATTTGATACATTTAGATATAAATCTATATTTATCGCTACACGCAATAAGATGCTAAATAAACGGACGTCCGGGCAGTGCAGAGAACACCCCCATCCCCCCTTTATACCACCATCACGTAATCTTTTATAAAAAAAGACATGATTGCGCCACATTACCGCCACGGTCTGATGCTCTGATGGAAATTGTTTCTCTGTGTGTAACGGTTAAAACATCTGAGCACCATCAAATTTTTCTGTCAACATTTAAGAAAAACATTGGTCAACTACATAAAACATTTTACATGACCCCTGCGTGGAACTCACCGTGAGGGGGAAGTTCTTGGTACTGGTTTCACTGGAATCCTGTTGCTGTCTATGGGGCATTTTTGTAACCTTTCCTGTGTCTTCTGTTGTATAATGTACAGACACCAGCAGTCATAAGATGTTTTTCCCATTATGCATCACTTTCTCTGTTATTGTTTGTGTTTTCTTCTGAAATCTTCTGAATTTGTTTCTGTTAACAACTTCCAACATTTCGGACAGTGCTTGTATGGTAATTAGAATTTAATAAATAGCAAAATGCTTTAGTTTTAAACTCAGAAAGAAAATTTTAGTGATTTCAAAACCGAGTTTCAAACACAATTTTCATCTAGTCCAGAACATTTCCATCTTCGTGCTAGCCCAAGTGAAGGGCCGAGATGTTATGGTGACAATAGAATGAGTCTACTGCAAGCATCGTGTTCAGCTTCCAGTCGAAAACAAGATGGCGCCTGTGCTCAGCTTAGCCGCGGTCACCGGCCACTTTTTCAAACTTTTCTCCACTAAACTCCTCTTTTCCACCTTGCTCCTGTCTGCGATCATCTTTGGTAGTGTCCCTGCTACCTTCTCCTATGATCGCCAGACTCTTTTGACCTTCCATTCGTTTACAATCGCCCAAGATGCACCAAGGATTTTCCTCCCTGTTTGTTTGCATGAGCGGTGTGCTGGCCAGGAGCCAAATGATGATTCCTACCAGGACACCTCCAGCAATGTTTATCTGGTCCCAGGAAAATGTCAGAGGAAAAAGAGGTAAACAAGCAGGAATCCAGGTGAGGAAAAGACTTCTCTTAAAGCACGGGTTATCTAGTAATCATTGGAGTGATCTTCTAGCTTCTTGTCCTTTGTTTGGCGACCTGAGTGTCACTTCCTCATTCTCGCCAGGCTGCGTTGCGGCGCGGTTTCTCCGTCCAAGTTTTTTAAGGTCTGTTTGTCCTCATTCTTCAGTGGTTTCTCCTCCTGTTCCCTCAAAAAGTGGTTTTTATAAACACCGTGGATCTAACCCTGCTAATCTATGTCCACTAACGCCAGCTGTTTCTGTAGTTTCTGATTCCTCCACCTCACTCAGCATGGCTCTATTAAATACCCGCTCTGTTAACAATAAGTCCTTCCTGCTTAATGATCTAATTCTCTCTAAAAACCTGGATTTTCTGTTTCTGACTGAAGTTTGGCAGCAAACATTTGATTATTCTGGTTTGACTGAATTCTGTCTGAGTAGTTATTCTTTCCTCAGCCAGCCCCAAGGTTCTGGTCGTGGTGGAGGCCTAGCTGTTGCTTTCAGAGACCATCTTCCACGTAGCTCAACAACCTCTGGTCTCTTTGCTTCCTTTGAACTGCAGCTGATTAAAGTTGGGCGTAAGGACCCGTTTTACTGTGCTGTGGTTTATCTTCCACCTGGTCCAAACAGTTTTTTCCTTCAGGAGTTTAGTGACTTTCTATCATCCACTGTGAAACTATCCAGACTGGTGATTGTTGGTGATTTTAACATCCACGTTGATGATCCCTCAGACCACGTAACCATGAATTTCTCCAGCCTCATGGACTCCTTCAGCTTTACCCAGCATGTTCCTGGCCCCACACACACCAGGGGGCACACTCTAGACCTTGTTTTACCCTGAGTCTAAATGCTGACAGTGTTTGTCCTGAGGACGTCTATATTTCTGATCACCATTGCATTTTCTTTAACTTGTCAGTTTCTGCTTCCCCACTTCGTGCTCGCCATGTGGTTAGTTCTTGTTTTCTTAATGAGAACACAGCTAGCAATTTCTCTGCTGCCTTTGATCCACCCTGTTCTTCTGATAATGACCCAGATTCCTTAACTTCTCAGTTTAACGAGCACTGCCTCTCCATTCTGGACAACATCTGTCCTGTCACAACCAGATCAGTTCCTGCAGTGAACCCCACTCTCTGGTTTAATGACAGCATTCACAGCCTGAAACGCCAATGCAGAAAAATTGAGCGCTTGTCGAAGAAAAGTCGTCTCCATGTCCATCTGCTGCATCTAAAGGATCTTCTGACATCCTGTCTCTCTGCAGCCAGAGATGCAATGGATGCCTAATTCTCCAACCTGGTGTCCCAGAGCAAAGGGAACTTGAAGGTGCTTTTTAACACCATCAGCAGCATTGTCTCTCCTGCCTCTCCTACAGCCTCCATCCACTCTGTTGCAGACTGTGAGAACTTTCTGTCTTTCTTTGTGGACAAAGTCAATAAGGTTAGATCTAGCATCTCTCCTTCAGCCTTATCGCTGCCTCTCCCGACTCCAACCAGGCCCATCATCCTAGATAGCTTTGCTCCTGTTTCTTTACCTGAGCTAACCAAACTAGTTAACTCTATGAAGACCTCTGCATGCCCCCTCGACATCTTACCCTCATCTTTGTTTAAAAGTGCTTTTCAGTCCATCAGTCCCAGTTTGCTTTCTGTAATTAGAGCTTCTCTGGTTTCTGGTCAGGTCCCTGCTTACTTTAAGAACGCTGTAATTCACCCGCTTCTTAAAAACCGAGTTCTCTCCATAGCAGCTTCAGACCCATATCTAAACATTTGTTCTTTTCCAAGAGTTATGATTGATAAACATAACATCTGTGATTATGTAACTATTCCAGTCAGGTTTTTGTAGAGCTCATTCTACTTAAACATCTCTTCTTGTCATGATCCTGCCATGCCCTGACCTCCATGCACCATTATTCATCTCATCAGCCTTCATGCTTCACAACTGGTCTTCTCATCAAGCCCCATCCAAACCCTGTTTCCACAGCAACCCCAGTCTGCATTTCATCAGCTTCATCCACTTCACCTGCTCCTGACTCCTCAGCTCATCACACACACCTGCTTCCCTTGCTACTTAAGAACCAGCCGTCCAACCATTCAGTGCCAGATTATTGAACGCTCACGCCAGTAAATCTTCCAGCCTTTTTCATCCTGCCTGATCATAGCCTCCTGACCTTGTTTTCACGCCTGACCCTTGCCAAGAACTCTGCCTGCCTCCACGACTGTTTCCTGTTTACTGACTCTTGTCTCCAGCCTCGCCCTTTACGGGTAATGCCACGTCTTAGCTCCTGGCTAATAAAGACTTTTAAAATGCCTTACTGTGTCTTGGTGTCCTCAAGGGTCCTCAAGTTCTGCCCGTTACACTTCTTAGGGTCTCTGACTCGCAGTGATGCAGGGGACTGTTCTGTTCTGGTCCTGTTGGACCTGACTGCAGCCTTTGACACTGCTGACCATCACCTGCTACTGGATAGGCTGAGAGACTGGGTAGGCCTATCAGAAACTGCTCTGGAGTGGTTCTCCTCTTATCTTTCTGAGCGTTTCTTCTCTGTAGCCGTCTCCAAGTTTAGGTCCTCCACCACCTCCCTTACCCATGGTGTCCCACAAGGTTCGGTGCTGGAGTCTCTGCTCTTCCTTCTCTATCTGCTCCATCTTCAGAACATCCTGAGATCTTTTAAAGGAAATTCCTACCATCTTTACACAGATGACATCCAACTGTTCATCTCCTTTAAGCCCCATGAGGTGTCTAAGCTGCAGCTGTTACACTCCTGCTTAGACTCTATCAAAACCTGGATGGCTGGGAACTTTCTTCAGCTGAATGAAGATAAGACTGAGATCCTCACCTGTGCCCCAGATAAGTTGGTTCCCAAAGTCAGAGACTCTCTTGGTCAGCTTGCTTCTCACACCAAACCTTCTGTCAGGAATCTTGGCTTGACCTTTGACCCAGCTCTCACCCTGGATTCTCGTGTCAGTTCTCTTGTTCGCTCTTCCTTCTTCCATCTCAGGAACATTGCTAATCTGAGTCCCATTCTGTCCCGCTCTGAACTGGAGACTGTTATCCACACCTTCATCTCCTCATGCTTAGACTACTGCAACTCTCTTTTCACGTGTCCGAGCAGAGCCTCCCTGAACCGTCTACAGGTGGTTCAGAATGCCTGTGCTCGGCTTCTGACCAAGTCCTCCAAACACACCCACATCAACCCGCTTCTCCTCCAGCATCACTGGCTGTCAGTCAACTTCAGGGTCCATTTCAAGATACTGGTTCTGGTCTATAGGGCCTTACATGGACAAGCACCATCTTACATTGGTGATCTTCTCAGTCCCTACACCCCCAGCAGGTCCCTGAGGTCCAGTGACCAAAGCCTACTGGTTGTGCAGCACCAGGCTAAAGACCAAAGGTGACAGATCATTTGCTGCTGTGGCCCCCAGACTCTGGAACTCTCTCCCCCTGAGCCTGAGATCAGTGGACTCAGTGGTCTCCTTTAAAACGCAGCTGAAGACTCACTTGTTCAGGTTTTGGTGTGACCTTCATCACCACCCTCTCGTTTTTCTGCTCTCCCTACCTATTCCACCTTTCTCAGGATCCACTGATTTCCCTCTTTCCTATTCACACTCTCTCTCTTTCTTTACATTTTTATATCACAATTGTCCAATTTAGCTAATTTAAAAGAAATTTTTTTAATCCTTTCTAAATTCTTTTTTATATTTTACATTTTTTGTTTTTGTGAAGCGCCTTGTGATTTTTATCTTGAGAAGTGCTATAGAAATGATATTTTCTTCTTCTTCTTAGCTCATCCCCACGCTGGTGGGGATGAGCTACGATGTAGCCACAGCTGTCCAAGGGCGCACTGACAAAGGCAAGCTCAGGCACCACCGGTCCCTCCGACCACCACCAGCAGGCAAGGGGGGGTTAAGTGTCTTGCCCAAGAACACAACGACAGTGACAGACTGAGCAGGGCTCGAACCTGCAACCTTCCGATTACGGATGTCTCTAAATGATACCAATATCTCTAAGAGTGCCAACAGATCGATTCAGTCTAAATGTCTTAAAATGAGATTAAACGAGTTTATCTGGTAATCGTTTCCCAATTCCTCACTTCATGCGGATGAAATGTTGTCAAAATAAAGAATTACATTGAATTTAACGTGTCACATGGAGATGAAATGCTGCAGGCTGTATGCTGATGCTGCCGGAACATAGAAAAGGATCCAGCTGAATATGTTAATAACTGTCCATCATGTGTCATGAATCATGAATTATGCTTTGAAATAGTCCACAGACATCAGAGTCAGAGGGTGATGCTGATGATTCATGCTCCACTGTTTAGCTAGAAAGACAAGGCCTTTAATCAGTGTCAACAAAACGTTTCATTTGAGATCACATTCCATTATTTTTGCCTTGACATCTGTGTTTCAGAAGCCATCAGACTGAGAACATAAAAAACTCCAAACAAACTACTTAGGAGTTTTTGGAGAGCCAAAAGAACAAAGTCTTGATCCAATGGCTCTCCAAACATTTAAAACCTTCATTGTTCTTGTATTATTGCACAGATCTGCTTTGGTTTGAAGCATAAATGTGTGAGAGCATTTCCCAGTGAGCCTGTCTGTGAGCGGAGACGGAAAAGACAGTTTCCTTCAGTAAAGTGTCATTCTGAGTGAACGTGTTGAGTTGACATCACTTCCTGCCATCTCCAGTGGATTTGAATGCAAACTAAACGTAATTCTTAAAGCTAGCAGAGAAACAATCACTCATCAGCCGTTAATCTCAACCACACATCACCCTTTTCTCCTTTTAAAGTCAAAACCAACAAAAAGGTGGAACAGCATTTCTACATTTAGAACAGGAAGAGGAGTAATTCATTTCAGGACTTCTTTAAAACTCAGACATTTTACTGAATGCCTTCCCTGCTGTGAGGAGATGTTGAAATCATTTAAAGAGCAGATGAGCTTCTGATTGCTTGTTGTTTTCTAAAATGGTAAAACAAGATTTGGAGTGATGTTTTTATTCTCTGACGTGAACACTTCTGATGTGGGGGCTCCAGTAAAGTCTGGGCCTGGGTTTATTTAGTCCATCTTTGAAGAGCTGAAGACAACGAAATAAAACCTGCAGACAGTAATCACTGGATGTTCACCTGATGACGTTTTGCATCTGACCAAAACAAGATGGCTGCCACAGCTGGTCAATAATAGCTAACACTTTAATTTGGGTGTGCTTTGCATGTTATATAGTGAATGTCAGTGGTGGTAATCTTCCTCTCTTTCCTCCATCCAGAACCTCAGTCCCAGTTGATCCAGCGGTTCCTACCCTTGGACCCTGCTCTGGAAACCAGACTCCTGACCAGCAGTCAGTGGGCGTTTGATCGAACTGATGCCAGCCACACCACAGGTGCTGCTGGTGATTCCTGCATCCTCACAAAGACCCGTTTGGACCACAACTCCCTCACAGCCAACCCTGAAAACTCTAACTGCAACAAGACCAGCCACTTCCACAACAATCCTTGGGCTCTGAGTTACCTAAACCCCATGACTCACCCTGGTCACCCCAACACCTCCCATGGCACCACCAGTAATGGTACAAATGTCACCAAAACTATAGCAACCAACCCTCCAGAGAGCCCCAGCACCAACGCCAATGACGCTGGTATCCGAATGATGAGCTCTAGCTTAGACGTCCCTTTGGTCCCGAGCAGAGTCCGTCCTGTGTCCTTCTCGCTTCCCAAACGGAGCTGCGCCCTCCTGCACCAATCTGCTGCTGTCTTCATCCAAGCTGGTTCTGAACTGTCAAGAAAACAAGAAAGCCCAACAATTCCAGAACAAGTGAAAACCAAAGAAGACAAAGGTGCTGATCAGCAGCTGAAATCTTCAGTATCTACAGACGTAAACAGTGTTTGTGTGCATCTCTGTGACACTGGAAACCAGTGTAGTGTGAACAGTAAAACTGCAACCCAGCACTCCAAGTCTGCTGAGAAGGGACCCATGGGACCTCCTGGGACTGGAGCCCAGATTGCTTCATGCAGTCCCAAAGAGACTGGGATTATTGATGACAACGGAGCCCCATTGTCTATATGGAAGGACAACGAGACTGGAACCCAAGTCGGTGGAGAATGTGCCACTGGAGCTCATATTTACTTTAACAGTGACATTCCGGGGCAGACTTATGATGGTGTAAGCACAGATTCAGCACAAAAAGTCACTGACGTTGAAATCTACAATCAGAAAAAGTCTAACTCACTCCAACAAGACAAGCATCTACCTTGTCCTGACACAAGTGAGCCTAAAATGTCCAATTCTTGTGCTTCAAGGGAGACCAAAGAGTCTTTAAGTGAAACAAAACCCAAAGAATCAACCTCCTCTCCACCTAACTGCTCCCAAACATCAACATCCACCCTTCCAAACAGGCCCAAAGATCCTTTTTGTCAAGTTGTCAGCAGAGACGGAAGCAGGGTTCTCCTCTGGCCCACAGAGATGGTCAACTACACCAAGACTTCCCCCTCAATATCCTACAGCGTCAATCCTCTCCTGTACGACTTCAGAGCTCACAGCAGGACCAAGGAGGGGGGTGCAGAACAGAAAGAAGGGCTGGAGAAAGAGAGGGAAAGAAAAAAGCCATCTGTGGTCAAACAATCTGACTGCCAACCACGGCACGGAGATACGAAGGGAGTGAAAGAGGTGAAGATAGGTGAAAGGGAAGAGGAGGCTGAAGGTGAACAGGCAGGAGATGTCATGGAAGTCGTCAACCATTGTGACGACAGCAACACAGTTCTGGATGTCGCTGGCTGCCACGATGAAAGCTCTTTAAAATTTGTTCCCATTTCCACAGAATGCCATCACGCCCCAGCACTAGGCCTTCAAAAAACAGCCGGGAGGAGGAGAAGGAGGGGAGGGGCGAGAAGGGGAACAAGAAGGAGGGGAAGGAGGAAAAGGAGAGCAGAGACAGATAGAAAAGATTCCAAAAAAGCAAGGAGGATAATGAGTCCTCTTTTTGCAAATCAGCTGTTAGAAGAGAAAGGGGAAGAAAAGTTGAAAAGAGAGGGCAACATGAAAGAGGAGAGGAGAGAAAAGGAGCCATTAAGTAATCTTGTTGCAAATCGGCTGGTAGGAGGGAGAGAAAAGAAGATGAGGGGAGAGGAGCGAGGGGTAAGAGGAGATCAGATGGAGCGAGAGAGGGCAGGTAGAAATGACGAGAAGAGGGGCGAGCTATTAAGTAATCTTCCTGTGAATCGGTGTAATCGGTGTAACCAGCTGTGTCTGCAGGTGAAAAGGGAGGCCAGCCAGCATCAATCCCAGCAATCAGCCACCGGATGGGGCCAGGGGCTCAGAAAGCTCCACTGCAGGGGTGCAGCATGCGACTCAGTGATTAGCCCCGTCTGCCAGTCTGTTACAGAGATGCCACGCTGTCCCAGAATTACACCCCACCCTGCTGAGAATGACAAAGGGACGGGGATGATGCAAAAAAACACGCACGCAGGGAAGGAGGAAGGGCAGAGGGATGAGGAGCAAAGGAATCAGAGGAGGATCGAGATAAGAGCCGCTCAGGATGTCGAGGAAAACACGTGTAAGCCGCCGATTAGCGGTGTTACTTTTTCCTGTCGAGACACAGCGTGCGAGGAAGAAATTTGTCTTGTTCTTAAACCTCACAGAGGAACAGCAAGCGATCCAGCGATTAGCCTGGTCCCTGCTTCCTTTAGTGGAACAGCGTGCAGTCAGAGACAAACACTACCTGCAGGACGAGGCAACGCTGTGATAGCTCAGAGCCCACGCTGCTCTGCACAACAGACAGAAAGTGAGCTGAGAATTACTTCTCCGTGCGCAGACGTGACCCTTCTCGCCCGTTCCCTGTCTGAGACGTCGCAGAGAGCCAAAAAGAGGAAGGCGGGACCGCTGGAGCCCGCCACACTGAGGAAGAAACGGAGGAGAGGGAGGAGACAGACAAGGAGATTCGTCAATGTTTTGATGCAAAGGCAGAAAATAATTGAAGCTGGTTTGACCTCTGACCTCAGTGTGGCTGAGATCTGCACCAATGAGCTCAGTTCAGATACCGCACCAAAGTGCTGTCCAGCTGCCAAATCAACTGATTTCTGCTTACTGTGTCAGAAACCAACCACGGACGGAACGCTGAGCCGTAACGCCACCGACAAACTCTGCTGCTGCGATGACGGAAAAGGCAGCAGAGGCAGCGCTAATGGCTGCAGTCCTGAGTTAGCTCCCTCAGGAGGAAAAGGGACACATGGCAGTGACTGGCACACCTGTGACACACCGACTCACACAAGGCAGGATGATGGAGAGCCTATCAAGGACACAGCCATCTGCGGTGCTTCTTGTAATATTTCCCGCAACAAAAATGATGAAAATGATGCAAATGTTGTCAGAAACGGTCAGGTGCACGAGGCTGATGCGAGCGATGGGCCTGTCTTGGACACACCTTTGCAGGCGATCTGTGCAGATTATTTCATATGTAGCACTGCTGACTCATGTCAGAGTAAAAACAAGCACATGGACGATGAAACTAAGAGCAACATCTGCAGCACTGACGGCACGCTTGACCCTGATTGTGTCTCTATTGATGAAAACAAACTGCAGTGCCCCGCTCCTCTCACACACACTCCGTCTGATTCAGGAGGCGATCACAAATGCTGCAGGGGCGTTGATCAGAGTGATGCTGACGGTGGTCAGTGTGATGGTTTCACTGGTAATCCTGATTATAATCGCCGTGGTAACGCGGTTAATAACAGCAGCAGCAGCAGAAATGAAGCTGAACGTGTACTCAGGAGGGAGCAGAGGGAGGATGAAAGAGTCAGGGAGCAGCAGAGCAAAGAAGAAGAGGAGAGAAATCAGCAGGAGAGGAGGGTGAGGGAGAAGCAGGAAGAGTGGGAGAAAGAGTGGGTGAAGAGGAAGGAAAAGGAGGAAAAAGAACGAGATAGGAGGAAGGAGATGGAGTTTGAGCATCTATTTTCGGAGAAGAGGTTTCCCCATCACCTCCCCTTTCAGTGCATCCCTCTCCACACTCCTCTCCTCCTCCAGCCATCCCTCTCCTCTTCCTCCTCTTTCTCCATTCACCACACCTTCATCCAACATCACCTCTCCCTCCTACCACCTCCATCTCAACTTCCTGTCTCCTCCTACCCTCACCTGCTTCCTTCTTTCTCCTCACATCTCTCCCCTCTCGCTCTCAGTCTGTCCCCAGCTCCACCACCTCCTCCTCCTCTCCCTCATTCTTTCTACACCTCCTCTCCAATCCCGCTCCTGGACGGCCCTGGTCCTTTTCCCTTAGCGGCAGCGTTTCATCCCATGCAGAGCCATCACCCTCCTCTGTACCCGCCTCCACATCCAGCAGTCTTACCCTTACAGGTGTTGTTCTGAAAAGTGACACTAAAACCTTTCTAGTCAGGACATCTTCATCTAAATATCACATCCAGCATGAAGCTCCAGTGAAAATAATCTTAGGAACACTTAAAGCCTAACTTTCCACTCCTGCCAAACACTCCAACTCTGTATCACATGTCTAGGAAAACAGAGAAGAAAAAAAACAAGATGCCTAATTATCCTCATCAGCCGCAATCTAGCTGTAAATGAGCCTCAGGTGTGCATCCTGTGGGATCGTGACAGGGATGCACAGCTGGGCTCATTTCCCTCAGCAGAAATCAGTCACAGCTCCTCTTTTGCATTTTAAAATCTATCATTTGCTTTGAAGGAAAGCTGGAAATTTGGTGACATTAGAGAAGAAAAGGATTGCTCTTTCACACGTTAAGATATGTTCACCAGGCTGTGATAAACACGGGCTGTTTGCCTTGTTTATCCAAGACATTTGTGGCAGTCTCTGGAAGGAATGAATGCCCTGTAAGTTGTACTCGGGGGAAACAAAGCACTGATGAACCATTCTAAGGAACTAGAAGTGACCCGTTTCAGAGCTGAGCTTCAGATGGCAGGATTTGGACTCTTATTCTTCATATTTGGACATCTCACCTCTGATTGGCTAACAGCAATGCGACTCTACCCCTGACTCTGCTTTGAATCGTCAATGTTCTATCTCCACAAATAACACAAGCCTGGAGGAGTTCTACTGTGCGGTGTAGCTGCTAATGCTAACGGTTAGCTTCTCCTAGCCGTTCTCTGCTGTTTCCTGGACACTAAAACAACAACAGCCTTCCCTGTAATGAGTCAAGATGGGTGAGTCGATGAATGTTAGGTGACCGTGTGACGTAGATCTGTCAGGATTTTCACCGTCTATTCTCTATCAAAAGCTAACACAGCAGATAGGTGGAGGAGACTGTTTTCATGTTCAGCCTGCGTGAAAAACTCAGAGTGACCAAATATAATCAGAAATAATCATTAAAAATGTTTTTTCTGTGTTCCACATTTAAATTTAAATTTAAATTTACTTTTAGATAGCAGATGGGAATTACTGGAGATGAGTTGAAACTGTTTGTTCTCAACAAAAAAAAACGTCCACTTGTGGCAGATACATCCCTGTCATTGTTTCCGGGTCATGGAGAGTCACACTTCAAGTTTAATAAAAACCTAAACTTTGATTTAAAATACTGTCACTGCTGCTTGTGATCGGTTTGCACTGAAAAAGCAGCGAGGCTGATTTTGGTGCTGAAGTTTGATTCAATATTAAAGATCATGTCTCTAAAACTGTCCTTCAGCGACAGACCTTCAGGCCTCGTTATGCTCAGTTTTAACAGATAACATCATTTAAGTATCCAACTATATGTCTAGATCTGACTTTACAAGTTTCAGCCACAGTTTTCAGTCACAGGCTAACAGCACTGGTCGTTCCTGCAGGCAGATCCTGAAGAACCGATCTAAACACTTGGACACAATCATTTGAGGAAATCGTTACATTTTCATGGATTTTTATGCACATTGAAGCTGAGTGATAGTTAAAGTTTGACTCGATCATTTAATTGGACTCCCATCTTTGTTCCAGTGTACAAGGCCATTGATTTATTCACCAAGGTTTGTTCAAATCGGTCACGGTGGAGAAATCCCACATTTCATATCATTGCCTGCTCTTGGTCGACCCTTCACCTCAACGCCCGAAACAACTGATAAACACTTCAGCTGAACCACTTGGCCTCTTTTGTTAGATATTCTCTGGTGTTAGAGAATTATCTCACCTCTCTTTGTTGGCTTCATGTCTTAATTCAGCATCAAAGCCTACGGAAGGAGATGGGGAGTGTGCACAGCTTAATCTGAATCCTAACTGCACAATCTAGTGAAACATAAGTAAATCTGTTTTAATGCTCCTTCAGCTGGATTTGTGCTGTTTACATGTAGCTGAAAGTCTGAACTGAAGACTCTGGGCTGAGTGTTGGTGACAAATGGGACACGGCGTTTGTTACAATAGTTTCCAAAAAGTCTTCGAGTTCCTCCTGTGAGTTACAGAGCCTCGCTATCACATCGCGGGAATCCTTAAACATTTTCTAAATTGGTTGCAACAAGCCTTTAAAGCAGAATACATAGTTTTTGTCAAACAGCGATGTCTAGTGGCTAAACAATGCATTACAACTTAGACCCCTCTCACCACTTCCTTGTTTATGGCAGGAAGCAGCGCCTCTCGTTCTTTTACAGATTTTAAAAAAAGGACAAATATAAGGTGCTGTATGGTGGTGCAGTTGGTCACACAATTGCAACAGGAAAGTTGCCAGTTCGAGTCCTGCCTGACCACTCTTTCTATATGGAGTGGGCATGTTCACCCCCATGCATCTGTGGCGGTTCTCCAGGTACTCTGGTTTCCTCCTGCAGACCAAACACGTGCACGTCGGGTTGATTGGCGACTCAAAGTTGTCTGCAGGTGTGAGAGAGCGTGGGACTGGTTGTGTCCCTGTGATGGACTACTGACCTGTCAACAGTGTCCTCACCCCTCAAACGAAGACAGACACCAGCTCCCTGTGATCCTAGAGAGGATGAAGCAGTTCACAAATGAATGAATAGAAGTTACTAAAGGCTTCTGGAACACCTCTCTGTTTGATTTCTTTGAGTTAGAAATATGAGACGACTAATTAAAAATGTCATTTCTGGTGTTGGAGAGCTACAGAAAAGGGTTAGGGCCACTGAAAGAATTAAGAATGAGAGAATTCTTACTTTAATATCAGAATTCTGACCTTTTCTTTGCAGTGGCCATATCCTCTTCCGTAGGAGACCAAATTCAGACACGGTGAAGACACATTGTGACTACAGTGTGCTTCATTAAATCAAGCTACAATGAAAATGAACACTAAAGTGTCCACATGTGCCAGCTCCTTAAAGTGTTGTATTAACAAAAAGTATTATTTTTATCGCTTTACGGTGGAGGTGTTGCCATAACTCGATGTGCTAGCTAGCCATCTATAGACACACAGTCTTCTGTTATTTTAACACGTTCAAAGACTCTTAATTAATCCCTGGAGAGGGGGGGATGACAATAACCTGGGTACCCTGACTTCTCTTTCTAAGTGAAGATATTAGTGAAGGGTGTTTGAAAAAAAGAGAGTCTGATTTCTGTGGATGACCACGTGACCTGGCTGTAGATAAAGTCTTTCCGTCTCACGTACCAGTTCAGTGTGTTTCCAACGACCCACCAACAGAATCGGCCCAGTGAGGTACTGGTTTACCACAATCAGAGCGATAATCCATCATAATGCCGCAGACTGACCTCATCCACTCACTGTTTTTTGCAAAGGTTGCTGATGAGAAAATATACAAAAACAAGAAACAACTGAACTAAGAGTTCGTCTCTTTGGAATTACTCAGAAATTTATGTATTTTTTACTTTACTTTCATTTATGAACTCAACTTAAGCACTTTGTGAGCAATTATCTAACGATCCAAAACAAATCAGACTAATGCAGTCAGCAGAACAGCTGTGTCCCAGTTTCCTTCATCATGGTAAAAACGTCATTTTTATATATGTGCAGGTTATTATGTTCTGAACTCATCTGTGCACACACCCTGCTGCTGTTCCTTCCAACAGACGTTTAAGGCTTTGACTTGATAAACCCGCTCCAGCGTCTGACCTTTACACTCAACCTTTGGCGCTGTTGATTTCCTGCCAACTGCACCAAAATACCCAAACATGGTGGACAACTTCAGCAGCCCAGCTGTTTAGGGTGAAATGTTTATTAAGTGATTCGGCCGGTCACGTGGCCCCGCCAACTGCAGCGCTGCGTCCCAGAGCAGCAGAGATGAAAATAGGGAGATGGGAGGATTTGATTGTCAGGTAATCATACAGTAAAACAGCCACTCATTGACTGCCACTCCCTTCCTTCAGTTGCCAAGTGATTTTTCTCTCTGTCGTCTGCAACAGAGCAACAAAGGTGCAGTCACTTGCTGTCAGTCAAACCCAGCAAGTTTAGTTTCCTTTACAGATTTGAATGAATAAGTTAACGCCCTCGCTTCCCCTAAAATCAGATTTTATTTCAAATTTTATTGTCTTAATTTTTCCTCAGAAAGTGAAGAGGATCATCTGTTATAATCCGAGTGTGACTGCGATGCATGTCGACAGGAGCAACGACAAGGACCACAGTAACTCCCACTCTCACGTACACGTTTTTTTCTCCTCTCGCTCTTTTCAAGTCAAACATCTGGCTGAGATTGCTTTGGGGCATCAGCGGTAGCGTCTTTCTCTCTCAACCCACTACAGATCATTCTAGTGCAGGCACAAGTGACAAACAAACAAAACAAACAATAATTTGCATCAAAACTCAGCCCCCAGAAGCAGTGGTTTGAACACAGCTCATTCTTTGGGCGAGCCATGCAGAATCCTGCTGTTTGATCATTACAGCTGTCAGTCGCAGCTGCTGCCCACTCCCCTCCCAGAGGTCATCAGTAAGTAACCGCTGTCTCCTCACAGATGACATCCAGAGGGTTGGGCTCGTTCCCCGCAGAGTACCCGATGAACCGTGGCGTTACGAAACTTCTTGCAGGCACAAAAGCATCAGAATGTGTGAGGGAACTGGTGTTTTCTCCTCCTACCTGCACACAATCAGAAGTTTCCAACTAAATACTCTAAGTCTCAATTATTACTGTGATAAACTGTATTTTAGAGGAGAAACAAGCTGTTATTAGATGTATTTTTGTAGAGAATCCTCAGTTGAATGAGGCAGTTTTTGTATTCTGTACTATTTTAGCTGCACCTGATTTGTCTTCTTGTTCCTGCTGTTGTAAATATGATTTCAGCTCCTTACAAAGCTGTTCTATACTATTTTGTGACAGAAATGTCTGAAGATCTGTTTAACTGACGTTTAGCAGATTTTATTCTGTGTGTAATCTCAGCAGATTCTGTATAATATAGAACTAGTGAGAAGGACCAGTAACTCTGAAAGTGGAAATAAATCTGTCAACTTCATATGAGTTGTGTTTTTCTTCTTCTGCTTTATTTTCAATTGAAAGTAAAATTCTCAGTCATCTGAATTAAACGATTAGTAGCAACAGACAACAAAAAAGTAAATGAGTTCAAGTCTGAAATGATTTCTTATGGTTTTGAGCTGAAAAGAGGGACTGACTCTTGCAGTTTGGTTGATTAGACACTTGCTTTAGGACTGTGTGTGAGCGCGCGTGTGTGTGTGTGTGTGTGTGTGTGTGTGTGTGTGTGTGTGTGTGTGTGTGTGTGTGTGTGTGTGTGTGTGTGTGTGTGTGTGTGTGTGTGTGTGTGTCCAGAGGGAACTCTAACAGCTGGGACCATCATGTTCATTGACTAAAATAGCGTTGGAATCCAACATGTTCAGCACCTGGGGCTTTGTGAGAGTGTGTAGAGCATTTTCACGAGCCCGTGTGTGTGTGTGTGTGTGTGTATTTGTTTGAGGAAACAAATTCACCCAGTGTGACAGATCAAATGCATTTTATTACAGAATCCACACTTCTCAGCTGTTTGCTTTGGTGACATTTAAAACCCACGAAAACAAAACAAAAAAGAACATCTGACATTAAAACTTCACTGGAGATCCGTTTCAGACATTATGACCCCCATGACCCTAGATCTGACTTCATTTGATGAAATTTTTGGTCATTTAGCAAGAAGTAAAAGTTGTAAATGATTATATTTGGCACACTGTATAAGGCTTCCTGAATAACTTACAATAGAGCTTGTCATATAACTGCTAGTCATATAAGCAGATCGAGATGTGATGTCACCATCTTTAAATGGCTCCAGTCTCCTACATATAAAACTTATTTCGAGACTGCGGGTTTGGGTCGTGGGGGCAGCAGCCTAAACCGAGAGGCCCAGATTTCCCTCTCCCCAGCCACTTGAGCCAGCTCCTCCGGGGGAATCCTAAGGCGTTCCCTGGCCTGCCGAGAGACAAAGTCCCTCCAGTGTGTCCTGGGTCTTCCTTTAGATCTTCTCCTGGTTGGACATGCCTATAACCATGGAGGGGTCAAGGAGGCATCCTAACTAGATGCCCGAGTCACCTCAACTGGCTCCCCTCGATGTGGAGGAGCCCCTCCTGGATGACTGAGCATTTCACCCTATTTCTAAGGGAGAGCCCAGCCACGCTCACTCCGTTACAGCTAAATGTAACTTTTTACCCTGCTGTTGTCTGTAAAATAAGAAGTTTTTATTAATGGGCTGTTGGTAAAAATCCGTTTGTTGTCTTGACCAGCGATGATGATTACCGATTGAAATAACTGCTAAAAACAGAGGATATTTGATTTAATTATCTTACCTATTTTTTATTAAGTTTTTATCATGTGATTTGGCATTATATACTAGGGTTGTCACGGTATGAAAATTTAACCTCACGGTTGTTGTGACCAAAATATCACGGTTTTCGGTATTATCGCGGTATTTTTTAAACGGTGTTGCATATGTTCAGAAAGCATTGATAGTCCTGTTCTACACAAACAGAAATAGTTTAGAAAAGGTTTAACAGTGTTTATTAAACCTAAAATAACACAAAGCCTTAGCAAAAATGCAACTTTTCACAAATAAAGGAACAAATAGCTTATTTTTCTGGAACATGTTACAGTAGTCAGTGCAGGTTTAAATTATACAAATCCAAACATTCAAAACATAAACAATATGTAAACAAATCAAAGAAACACCACTTGTTTTCTCATATACTTGTTTTCTTCATTATCAAAATGAAAATCTAAAACTCCAGTCCACACTTGACTTGAGCACTGTACAAGTCAACCTTAAAAAATATGTATTTAAAATAAATAGCCACTTTAAACAAATTACTAAAATAACTACTACACTATGTAATCAAATCCAAATGTTCAAGTATAAATGGCATTGAATAAGTAAACAAATCATTGACAAGGAACTTATTGTATATTTCTCTTCATCATCAACAAATAAGATGCTTCATCCAGCAACAGGGTGTCCGTGACACGGTTTAAATGCTGGCAGAGGACGCTGCGGCTGCAGTATATAGTGACTCGTTGCATTCTCCCTCAACCAAAAGTCCTCACGCCATGCATTTAAGCTAAAATGCTAATGTTAACTTACCTTGCACTGGCTGTAGAGACGTGGGTGATGGTCACGCAGATGTGCCATTAGATTCGAAGTGTTGCTGCCTTTTGCAGACACTTGTTTCCTGCACGTTCTGCAAATGGGATAGCCGTCTTCTATTAACTGTCCCTCAGCATTTTTCAGAAATCCAAAATATGCCCATACTTCCAATTTAGTCTTCTTTGAGGGCTGATGGATGTCCTGGGCGCTGCCGTCTCCTCCTTCGGCCATTATTTCAGCTTCAAAGTTTTGGTGCCGTTGCAAATTAAAAAGTGCGTGTGCGCGCCGCGGGAACTTCAGCTGAAGCGACGGTGGCTGGTAAGGGTCACCGCGCTGAAACCGCGACCACGGTAAACCCACCGAGATAATTTAGTTTATTAAAAACTGGACGGTTATTTTTATTGTCAACTTTTTTACCGGGGTTTACCGCTATACCGGTTACCGTGACAACCCTATTATATACATATATACATTTATTAGTTTGCATCAGTTTTCTTCATTAGATTTCATGTTCCATGAAGTTTCATGTCTTATGTTGCTTAGCAACACTCTGGGTTGTAGGTTCTAACCTTGAGTAGCAATATGCACCCAGAGACTATTAAAGAAGCTCTCTTCAACAGGTGAGATGTTTATTTATAGTTTTTAACACACTGGGAAGCTTAAAATTACTCCAAGAAAATCTCCCCAAGGGTCTCTGTGATTTGACATTTCAGTTATTTTCCTGAGAGGCTGGTAGACCTTTTAGCTCAGCAAGATGCTTTAAGGTGAAAAATGTCACAGACCTCTCAGTGCATCAGTGGTAAAGCAGAATTGTTTGCTTCCTTTGCTTTAACCACAGAAATCACTCAGAAACATGTTAAGAAAACCTCAGCGATGGAGAAAAAGCCCATGAATGAGTCACTGCGGCTGCTGTTGGCCTTTCTGAGCAGAACCAGAGACGAAACATGATGAAGAATTCATGCTTTTCATTTAACACCTAACATTATTGAGACTTCTGCATCACAAACTCTCAAAGGCAGATTTGTCTGAAGATTGAAACGAAAAGTGAATAAGGACGGTAAAAACAGAAATGTGAAGGTAAATACGACTTTAATTTTGTTTTTGCTGCACAGTTTATTCTTCAAAGTGTTGAAAAACATTTTCTAGCAGTAAAACTGTCTAAACTCTGGCTTCTTCTAGGACTTAACTCCTCCATGCACCATGACAAAAGACAACACATGAATAGACGAGAGCGACGCAAATTAAGAAAGCAACTTTACCAATTTGACTACAACACTGATGCAAGTACATGTAATCCTGCACAACCGAGCCATCACAGAAAGTCTCAACTAAAAAAAAAACGATGCTGCACCAACTTTTTGTCCTCACATCCTCTCCTAGTCACCAACTACAACCGTTTTCTATATATGTGAGTGTTCAGTCTCACCGTTTTCTTTGATACTTTAATGCAGAAATTTAAAGGGAGACTTTTTGACAGTGCATCTTTGGAGCCTCAAGCCAAACCGATATCTACCGTTTTCACTCTTTAATATGTCATTTCTGTTCAGAAAACAGAATAAACTAAATGACGACAAATAAATAAATATGTTATAGCATCAAATATCCCCAAAGCATCATACAGCAGGGAGAATAAGTACTTGACACATCAGCACATTCATCAGTAAGGGTATTTCTAAGGGGCAATTGACACAAAATTTTCACCACATGTCAATAAAAATGCAAGCCTTTCATTCCTGCATAGATGTCTAAACATGAAAGTCCATCAATCGAGTTTTGTGTAATGAAGTGAAAAGATATTAAACACATGAAGATAAAAGGTGCAAAATGGCATAAAAAGCAAGGAAATTACCTGAAATCTGTCAGTATTGAGACCCCCCCCCCCCCCCCCCCCCCCACACACACACACACACACACACACAGGTGCTTATATCAGGTGCTTTAGTCCTAACTGATGGCCTATAAAGGCTTCTCATTACCCAGGAGACACACAGGAAAGACCTCATGATGGGTAAAAACAAAGAACTCTCTCAAGATCTTTGTAATCTTATCATTGAAAGGCATTCTGATGGGATAGTTATGTTTTTAGTACGCTGAATATTCCTGTGATCACTGTGGGGGTCATCATCTGGAAGTGAAAAGAGTTCACCATAGACTTCACCATCAGGCCACGATCAGGTGCTCCACACAAGATTCCTGTCTGAGGATTCCAAAGAATAATCAGGAGGGTTCTCCAAGAGCTAAGAACCACTCAGGCAGAACTCCATGAAGACCTTGCATTGGCAGGTACTGTTGTTTCAAAGAAAATTATTAGCAATGCACTGAACCACCATGGCATCCATGCACGCTCACCATGTAAGACTCCATTGCTGAAAAAAAAGCATGTTGAGGTTCAGTGAAAGCTTGCAAAACTGCAGTTGGAAAAGCCTGTGGATTACTGGGAGACTATAGAAAGGTCAGATAAAACCAGAATAGAACCTTTTGGATGTTCTACACACCATGTTTGGAGAAGAAGTGGCACTGCCCACCACCCCAAGAACACCACACCAACAGTTAAGTTTGGGGGTGGAAGCTTCATGGTGTAGGACTGCTTTTCAGCAAAGGTTTCTGGCAGACTTCATAGTATTGTAAGCAGGATGAAAGGAGAAATGTTCTGGGACTTTGTTGAACCTATATTTAAAAAAACCAGTCATACCCCTCACAGCCTAGAAATTACAGACCCATTTCTAAATGACCCTTTATCTCTAAAATAATGGAAAAGGTTGTGGCAGATCAGCTGACCACTTTTCTGGAACTACACAACAACTTTGGACAAATTCCAATGTGGTTTTCATAAAAAGCATTCAACAGAAACAGCTTTGCTTGAAGTTTCCTGTGACATCTGTCAGTGTTTTCAA